TTCCAACTATTATTCCTGTTATATTTTGGAATGAACGTCCATGGATTGCTTTTAGCGTCTGTGTTGTTCTTCGCATATTCCTAGTTTTGCATCACCTGTTCACAGTAAATTCCCTTGCTCATTATTTTGGTTACCGACCATATGATTTTCGAATAAGACCGGCTGATCATCGTATTGTTAATTATATTTCAATGGGCGAAGGTATACATAATTATCATCATGTATTTCCATTTGATTATCGTATCAATGATCGACCACAATGGGAATTATTTAATCCTGCAGTAAGTTTCATACATCTTTGTTCACATTTTGATTTGGCATATGATTTGAGAATTGCTTCACCTGATGTAGTCAAAGGAACTATTAAACGAAAAGGTTGTTCAGCATTATATGATCCTATTCGAAGTTTTAAATTCCGTATCCTAAATGCAATATTTGATTGGACAATTGGAATATTAACACTTTTATGGATCATTTATCCGGCATTATTTTATAAATTAGCAGCACAACCTATTATCTTTATTTAGTTTTGATTTTCATTAATTTTGTAAAATGATCTAAACTCAATCAATGAAATTTATTTACATCAAATGCAGTAAACCAATAGAAAAAAAAATCATTTATTAAATTCCATAGTATTTTCGATGGCAAATCAACAAAAAAAGAAAGAAAGATTTTATCACATTATCATTAAGTTTTTTGTTTTCTAATTTTGATTGATTTTTTAATTATAATTTATTATCATTTGAAAAAAAACGATTTCTATCTATAATTATTTTGTTTGTTTGTTTTTTTTTAAAAATTTTGTTTTACACATTTAATGACAGTGAAAATTTAATCATTTTTTTACTGTTAACCAAAAAAAAACAAACAAAATAATTTTCAAATTAACGTTTGATTGCATTTCAACAAATATATTTTGCTGCTTAATATTACGTCATTGAAAATTAATTTTTTTTTCATATAAAAAAAATAATTTATCGTTTGTTTCAGTATAAAAAAACGATGCAATAATAATAATAATAATAATGATGATCGGTTTTACCCTGATGATGATGAAGATGATGGTAATGATTCAATCGAATTAGAAAATAGTATTTATATGGAGAGGAAAAAAAAAGATTTGTTTTTCTGAAAAGTTGAATATTTAATAATCAAATTGAAATTGACAAAATTTAAACAAAACAAACAACAGTTTTTTCTTTTTTTTCAATTGAAAATCTATTTCATCATGAAAATTGAAAATAATGAAAATAAAAATTCAAATATTTTCAATGAATATTTGGATACAAAAACATCAATCGATAATGTTGATAAATTTCCATTCAATATTGTTGAACAATCAGCATGGAAACGTCCATTAAAATGGTCAAATATAATTATATTATCAATTTTACATATTGGTGCTATTGTTGGTTATGTGAATATTTGTATAACGGTTATTCATTTGGAAACGGTTTTGTTTGCAATGTTTATTGGTGCCCTATCTGGTATTGCTGCATCAGCCGGTGCACATCGTTTATGGGCACATCGATCATATAAAGCACGGTGGCNATCACCTTTCTTATGACAAACAAAAAAAAATTCTGATTCAAAAACTTCATTCATCTCAAATGATTCTGAAAACGAAAAAAAAATAGTCAAAACAAAAACAAAAACAAACAAACGAAGATTCTCTTTGTTACGAACACTACACTACACACACACACATCTTGATATATCTTTTGCAATTTTCTCTTTCTCTCTCTCTCTCTCTCTGGATTTTTCTTTCTTTCATTTTGCTCTATCTTATAATCACATTACATAACATAATCATCAAAAATGTTAAAACCAGGCAAAAATTTGATTTGATTTGATTTTTTTGCCATCGACACATTCAAACCATTCATTCATTCGTTCATTCATAATTTATAAGCTGGGAAAAATTTGCGTTTTCTGAATCTCAAAATGAATTGAATTGAATTGGTGACGTAAATAAATCATGAACAACAACAACAACATTATTCGTGTCAACAACATTCATCCATCATCATCATTTTTTTCTCGCCATTCTTTTTTCTTTTTTTGTTCTTTTCTTATCAATCAATCATTGATTATGATTATTATTCTCAAATTTTTTTTTTCTTTCTCAAATTCTTCTGTGTAGATATAAAATGATATAATTTAAATAAACCAAAAAAACCAAAATCAATAAAATAATTTTTTGAAACGGTAAAAAATGCTTTTTTCTTGATTTCTTTGATTTTTTCTTTTGATTTCTGGTTCAACAATTCTTGCTGATGAAAAAACGTCAGCATCATTAATAAGTTTTTTTGGATGTTTTGCTTGGACGTTTGTCTGGTTGTTGTTTGTTGTTTGTTGTTTTCTGAAAACAAAATTGAATAATGGCGATGATATCATCATATTTTTAATTTTGTTTTTTTGTTTATTTCCTTTTAATAATATTTCTCAATCGTTTTGGTTGAGAGGGGAAGAAGTATTGCATCAAAACTATGAAAAAAACAACAAACAACAACCAACAACAAAAAACTTATAAAACCAGGAAATGATCAACCTTGGAATTGAATGCGCACCACCACCATTATCAACAACACTGATAAAGATATCATTTAACAAACAAATGTTTGATATTCAGATCTATGAACGCCATCTATGAACAAGAAATGAAAACAATCAGCGAAAAGTGATTTTTTTTTTGTTGGGAAATTTAAGGATTTTTTTATTACATTTTCTTTTAATTCAAAAACAACAACAACAACAGAAAAAAATTGGACAAGATTTTTGTTTGGTTTTGTTCATATGATTTTCCAATGACAAAAAAAAAGAAGAACTAATTGATTTTGTATGGTTATAATAACTAGGGACTGGTTTGAATGGACAGGGAAAAAAACAAACAGAATTCAAACTTTTAAAATAAATTTTTTTTTAAATTCATATCACACACACAAACTTCCATATAGTCAAACACACACACACAAAAAAACATTGATGAATGAAAATGATGAAACACAAAACTGATTGAGGTAATGTAATAATGGTAATTGCCCGATGATGATGACGAAAAAAACGATGATGATTTTCAAAAGGCGATTTTTTGTTTCTTTGATTGATTCATTGATTGAATGAAATGAAATAAAACACATGCGAATATATTCGGGATTAATATATTGGGATTTCGTTTAATCATTTAAGAAGAAAAAAATTTCGAAAAAAAATCATAAAAATAATAATAATTAAAAAAAAAACGGAGGGAAAAATGAAATCAAAATCAATCAATCAGAATCAGATTCTTGATTGATTGATTGAAATGAAATAAAAAGAAAAGAAAGGAAAAAAATTCAGATTATATCAAAAAAAAGGAGAGAGATATCTTGATATATTTATAAAGGTGATGACTTTTGTTATAAAAATCACTTTTGTCAAAAATGAATTCATTTTTCTCTTTGTAAAAGATTACAACGACGATGATGAAAATTGGTTGCTTCTTCCCAAACTAATTCTTTCAATCGTTCACGTGGTAGATCATCATATTCCATATCAAGATTGAATGGTTCTTCAGCAACAGGCTATACAAAGGAGAAAAAAGTGTTAAAAATTGATATTTTGAAGAAAAAAAATTTTTTTTTCATTACTTCATCGCTTGGATCATAATATTGACTGAAATATGGATGTGCCAATGCTTCTTCAACAGTAATTCGTTTATTCGGGTTAAATGTTAACATTTTATCCAATAAATCTAATGCATTTGAATCAGCCGAAGGAAATAAACGTATCCATGGTGTTTTCGGTTTTTGTTGTAATGTTTGTAAATATTGTCGAGCTTTTGGATTAATAATACAATTTAAATCTTCTTGACTTGGTGAACCCAATATATTTAGTATATGATTCAATTGATCCAAATCTAAAAATTTTTGAAGAAAAAAAAATTATCATTATTAACACACCATAGAACATAAGTGATCACTTTTCACATACAATGTTTTCCCGGAAACAATGGTCGATTTGAGATCATTTCGGCCAATATACAACCAACTGACCAAATATCAACTATTAAAAAAATTGAAAAAAAATGTTAGTAAAAACCAAATCAAACAAACAAACAAAAAAATCCCTACTTGATTTAGTATATCCTTTACTATTAAGCATAATTTCAGGTGCACGATACCAACGTGTTGCAACATATTCAGTTAATAAACCAGTATGATCTTGTACTGGATCGGCAACACGTGCTAAACCAAAATCGCATATTTTTAAATCACATGTTGTATCCAATAATAAATTTGATGGTTTCAAATCTCGATGTAAAACATTTGCCGAATGTATATATTTAAGACCACGTAATATTTGATATAAAAAATAACAAACATGATCATTACTTAATGGTTGTGTTTTTAATAATTTATATAAATCTGTTTCCATTAAACATTGTACAATATAAACATCTTTCATACGTTGTATATTTGATGCACAGATTATATCTTGTATATCGATTATCTGGTTGGGTTGAGGGGGGAAGGAAATCAATCAGATCAATCAATCAAAAATATCAAAATGAACAAACCAAACTTACATTTTCATGTCTAAAACGTGTTAAAATTTTTATCTCTCTTAATGTTCGTTGACAATATGTTTGATGTTCAAATGGACTAATTTTTTTAATGGCCACTTTTTTCCTAGTATTATTATCGAAAGCAGATCTATATATGTTTCAGGATTTCAAACAACAGAAGAAAAATTAATTTAGAAGAAAACAAAAACCTTTTTTTTTCTCAAATTTTCACTGCTACTAATTGAAATTGTCAATTTTCAACTGAAAAGATTTTTCTTTTCCTGTTTTTTGTTTCCAATTATCCTTATTTGTTGGATGTAAAATAAACGAAAAGAAAGAAAAGATTCCAGAATAAAAAAGAATTTTCTTTTCTTTTTGAAATTTTCAAATCTTTAATCATTCATCAATTTGAAAGAGCAAAACAAAGAAAATTAATTGAATTTTACTTTTCAATTTGAACTTAATTCTCTTCCATCTTTTCATTTTCTTTGGTTAAAAATAAAGAAAAATCTTTCAAAGATTTTTCAACAGAAAGAAAAAAAGAAATCATTCATTTAGACAGACGGACAAAAAGATTAGACAAAATTCAATTTCTCAATAAATTTTTCATCATCAAGTCATGAGTTGACGCAAAACATCCACACATACACAGACACAATATATATCATATGTCCATGAACTAATTTTTGTATGGTGCATGTGTGGTTCTCCATTTAATCAAAATTCTGATTTATTCTATAGGCTTTCGATGATTTTCAAGGCTAAATTATATATAGAGAGAGAAAAAAGTATTGAAATTCTGAAAGAAGAAACTACATATTCAACCAACGAATGTAATGCAAACTATTTGTTCTATTTCGTATCCGTTTTGTCAGACTTGTCAGATGAATAGCAAAATGAGAAAATTGTCCCCAGAATCCAGAATATTTTTTTTTGTTCCTGCAGTTCAACCAAAAAAAAAAAAAAAAACACAGGTAACTTATATTGATCACCAAAAACAGTAATCTCTTTATTAAGATTTATGGATATATTTTATGGAAAATTCAAACTAAACCAGCTTATCCCTTGATGAAAATGTAACTTTTTTTTTGTTTTTGTTTCATTAATATCAATGAAAAAAAAACAATGAGAAAAAACAAGACAAGGACAAAATTGTCATTCGTTATTTATAAACAAAACAAAACAAAAAAGGAAATTATTATTATTATAAAAATCTAAATAAGTTTACCCAAAAAACTAATTAATTTCCTCGAAAAAAAATGACATTGATAATGCTCACACAGTGCTTATTATTATCTTGACAAAACTCTTTTTTTTTCCGTAGAAAAACTAATTATCTCTATTATCATTTTTCTCTCTCTTTCAAAGCAAGCAACAAAAATGGAGAAAAATTTTCCCAAGCAAACAGAAAACTTTTGTTATGAAAAATTCAAATTTTTTTTAAAAAAGAAATTCAGTTGAAATAGAATATGTTGAATATATAATTCATTTTGCGTAATCAAGTAAAAAAAAAATAAAAACGATCCATCAAAATTTTTGTTTTTTTTTCACAAATTCTAACTGAATTGAAATTGAAATTTTCCAATGAAAAAAAAAATCCAATTTCAATATGGAAACAAGAAAAAAAAAATTTTCAAATAACCAAATTTCAAGGGAAATTTCTTTTCTTTTCACTTCTCGAATACAACCACCAACCAACCAAACAAATAAAAATTAAAAAAAACTTACACAACCATTCCATAAGCACCTTCACCAATATATTCTAATGATGTATAACGTGGACCAACTTCAAATATTTGTCCACGTACAGTTTCAGTACAGGAATTTTTTCCACCCGGTGATGGTTCAGCAACTGTATTGCCACCACCACCACCATTATTTGATGATGATGATGATTGGCCAGTCGTTGATGATGCGGTGGTGGTGGTGGTGGTGGAGGGAGGAAGAGCTAAACCCGCTAAACCAGATGAATTCATCATCATATTAGTGGATGATTGTCCACCACCACCACCGCCACTTGGTGATACAGACATTGGTGGTGGTGGTGGTGATGATGAATTATTGTTTTGTAATGTAGATGTTTGAGGTGATGGTGATGTTTCCATATTTGGTCAAAATGAAAAAAAAAATTGGAATGATGATGCTATTGAAGGGAAAAGAGAGAAAAATTTCAATTTTAAATCAATCAAAATGAAATGGACAAACCTTGTCGAACGAAAACGAAATTCTCTTGCTTTGGACCACAAAATTATTGATTGTTGTTTTTGAAATCTTCAAACATTGATTGCCCAAAATGATGATTTAGTCATTGAAATTCTTTATTTTTTAAAAATAAAAAACATGCTAATGTTGCAGAACAAACAGAAAAAAGGAATGGAAAATTTTTTTGATTAAACAAATATCACCAGACAAAAAAAAGGGAAAGGTTTTTTTTTGCTATTGCAAATATCGTTTTTCAAATCAAACAAACGAAAAAAAACACTTACATTTTTTTTATTTGACAGCCAATAAAAATTGATATTTAATTAACAAACAAACAAACAGAGAAACAGAGAGAAAGAAAGCGAGCAATGATAATGAATTGATTATCAAACGAAGAAGAAAAAAAAACGTTCGAATCAATGATGACGACGAAGACGATGATTCTATTTTGCTACAAAATTATTAATTATGACGATGATTATGATGAGTAAAAGAATTTTACGAAAAAAATTCTTGAAAGAAAACAACATAAAAAAATCAGGCGCCAAAAGTACGATGTTGTTTGTTTCGTTGTTGTTGATATTCGAAAACATTTACATTTACAAATCAAAGACTTTTTGATTACAAATTCGTTTGATAGTTTGTTACGTTTGTTGTTACGTTTGTTAATTTTTTCTACAAATAAAGAATTACCAAATCAAAAAAAACAGAAAATCTAGAAAATCTGGACTCAATTTTCAACATGGTAACAAAACAAAACGAACGGAACAAAAAAAAAGTTGATCACTTTTCACTTTTTTTTTCTATTTTCGCTATTTTTTTGCCCATAAGACAAATATACAATTTTTTTGGTTTGTTTGTTTTTCACAAGTAACAATGGAACATATTTTTTTTTATGGTAGTGGTATTGTGAATAAGCAAAAAACAAATAGCGTTTTTTTGTTTTGTTTTGCTCGTGCCAGTCATCGACACGCCATTCCACAAAGATAGGGGTAGAGAAAAAAAAGTGAACCAATTTTTCGCAGAATGGATAGTAGTAGCATTATTTTAAACATGGCTGATTGAGGGGGATTCTGGGATACTTTTATGGATCAGACCACTTCTACTATAAGTGCGTGGATAACGTTATTATCGTTAATACCGCTAACATTTTTTTTTGTTATTGGAAATTGGAACAAAACCAAAAACAAAAAAAAAACATGCGCAAAAAGAATATTCAAAAAAAAAGAAAAAAAAAGAATAGACATTCGAAATTTATTCTTTTTTTTTTTGTTCTTTTTTTGAAAATTTTTTTTCTCCAAAAATTTATTACATAATTTCGATGCAATTTGTTTTTTGTTTTTTCTTTTGTTTCACAGTGATTCATTCAGTGTTTATTTATGTTATGTTTTTATATATAGTGTGTGCGACAAACATTTGGGGAATTGAAATAAAATATGAAGTAATCTCCGTGTTGATATGGGCGCTCATCAGACAAAACAAAACAAAAAAGTAAAAGCAAAAATTGTCAACGAGAAGAAGAAGAAATCAAGACAAATATCACGATTTTGTTTTCCAATATGCAAATGTTCGAGAGGATTATAAAACAAAAAAACTGGACAAAAATGACTTTTTGAATCTGTAAGTTTTGTTTTAGTTTTTTTTCCGGTTTGTTTATTTCAGGTTTTGGCCTGTTGTTTGTTTGTTTTTTTTTTGAAATGACATGATCAAATCAAACTAATAATATTTGAGCCTTGACCTTAAAGGCAAAAATGATCTTTGATTCTTTTCACACACACACACACACACACAATGCTAGGAACCATGATAATATAACATTGATAACATTGGTTATGTTTGCAATGATAAATATATGTTGGGAATGAAAAATGAAATTTCATACCAAAAAAATGGGGTATATAAATGAACTTTTGGACCTAATATGATCGGTTCGATTATTGAAAATTCATCTGTTTCATTTTTTAAGTTCAATCCTTTTTCATTATTTGGTTCAGTTGATCATGAATAATGTTAATGCAAATGATGAAAATGAAAATCCAAGTATTACTATCGAATGTTCGGAATCTATTATGATTGAAAAATTAAAAGCAATTCATGGTCAAGATGATCCTCGATTTAATGTTGAACAATCAGCATGGAAACGTCCATTAAAATGGTCAAATATAATCATATTGTCCATTTTACATATTGCCGTTATTGTTTGTTATGTGGATGTTTGTATATCACTATTTCATTTGGAAACAGCCATATTTTCAATAATTATTGGTGCCATGTCCGGTATTGCTACATCAGCCGGATCACATCGTTTATGGTCACATCGATCATATAAAGCACGGTGGCCATTGAAATTATGGTTTCTAATATTTCAGGCAATCACTATGAATGGAAGTGCTTTGACCTATGCTCGTGATCATCGAACACATCATAAATATTCTGATACCGAAGGTGATCCAAAGAATCCCACTCGTGGCCTGTTTTATTCTCATATTGGTTGGTGGTTGGTTAAAAAAACCGAATCAGTCAAGCAAGCAGGTCGAAAACTTGATTTTTCTGATCTCTATAAAGACAAATTACTTTATTTTCAGCACAAATGTTACATTCCCATTTTCATTGTGTTTGGTATTATCCTTCCGACCGTTATTCCAGTCATTTTATGGAATGAAGATCCATGGATAGCTTTTAGTATTTGTGTCGTCCTACGTGTTTTTGTTGTTTTGCATCATCTTTTCACTGTCAATTCCCTTGCTCATTATTTTGGTTATCGACCATATGATTTTCGGATTAGACCTACTGATCATCGTATTGTTAATTATATTTCATTCGGTGAAGGTCTACATAATTATCATCATGTATTTCCATTTGATTATCGTATCAATGATCGACCACAATGGGAATTATTTAATCCACCTGTTAGTTGTATTCGAATATGTTCATTAATTGGTTTGGCATATGATTTGAAAATTGCTTCACCTGAAGTAGTCAAAGGAACTGTTGCCCGAAAAGGTTGTCAAGCATTATATGATTCAATTCGAAGTATGAAATTCCGTATTGTAAATGCAATATTCGATTGGATAATTGGAATATCAATAGCATTATGGATTATTTATCCGGCATTATTTTATAAATTATTCACACAACCTGTTATTTATATATGATTTCAATGGATAAAATTTAAATTGATTTTTTTGTTTATTGAATAAATTCAAGGCCATTGAATATTCCTTTTTTTGCCGTTGTAATCAATGCAATCGATTCGTTGTTGTTGTTGTTGATGATTTCCTAATATTATTTCAAGTTTACTTGCACTCGGCAAAGAAGATTTACTCATAAAATTACCTTTATTTTTATTAATTTATTAACTTTTTATTTCTGGTTATAATGCTTAAAAATAACTATTAGAATTATTATACAAGTCAATCAATCAATCAATCGATCGATTTATCTAGAAACATTAAATTGATCACATTTTTTTGTTGTTGTTGTTGTTGTTGACTTGATTCTAACATGACAGAAAATTGAATATATAATTTTCACGTGTTTCGTTGTTTTTGTCCAAAAAAAAACGATAAATAAATAATAAATAATAATTACGTCAATGATGAAGATCAATTATATCATTCACGTGTATTTCGGCCAAAATCATTTATGCATATTCTATTGGTTTTTTTCCTTTTTTTTCAAGATTTTGATGATGAATAATCCTTAAAATTTCATACCAAAAAAAATGCTATATATAGCAAGACCTTTTTCTGCTGATCAAATCATTTTGGTCAACAAAACTTATTTCTTTTTCCGTGATTAAATCGATTAATATTTCAAAATCAAACAACTCAGTAATTCATCAATATCATGAAAATTTTAAATGATATTAATCAAAACTTAAATTCTTACGATGATTCTTTTGAATCATTTGATACAGAAAAATTGAAAACATCAATCGATAATGATGATGATTTTCAATTTAATGTTGAACCATCAGCATGGAAACGTCCATTAAAATGGTCAAATGTAATCATATTGTCCATTTTACATATTGCTGCTATTGTTTGTTATGTTGCCGTTTCTATAACACTTTTTCATTTGAAAACTGTTGTGTTTTCAGTGGTTATTGGTGCCATGTCCGGTATTGCTACATCAGCCGGCGCACATCGTTTATGGTCACATCGATCATATAAAGCACGATGGCCATTGAAATTATGGTTTCTAATATTTCAGGCAATCACTATGAATGGAAGTGCTTTGACCTATGCTCGGGATCATCGAACACATCATAAATATTCTGATACTGAAGGTGATCCAAAGAATCCAACACGTGGCCTGTTTTATTCTCATATTGGTTGGTGGTTGGTGAAAAAAACCGATTCAGTCAAGCAAGCTGGTCGAAAACTTGATTTTTCTGATCTTTATGAAGACAAATTGGTTTATTTCCAGCACAAATATTACATTCCCATTTTCATTGTGTTTGGTGTTATTATTCCAACTATTATTCCTGTTATATTTTGGAATGAACGTCCATGGATTGCTTTTAGCGTCTGTGTTGTTCTTCGCATATTCCTGATTTTGCATCATCTGTTCACGGTAAATTCTCTTGCTCATTATTTTGGTTACCGGCCTTATGATTTTCGAATAAGACCGGCTGATCATCGTATTGTTAATTATATTTCATTNTTTATTTTCAGCACAAATATTACATTCCCATATTCATTGTGTTTGGTGTTATTCTTCCAACTATTATTCCTGTTATATTTTGGAATGAACGTCCATGGATTGCTTTTAGCGTCTGTGTTGTTCTTCGCATATTCCTAGTTTTGCATCACCTGTTCACAGTAAATTCCCTTGCTCATTATTTTGGTTATCGACCATATGATTTTCGAATAAGACCGACTGATCATCGTATTGTTAATTATATTTCAATGGACGAAGGTATACATAATTATCATCATGTATTTCCATTCGATTATCGTATTAATGATCGACCACAATGGGAATTATTTAATCCACTTGCAAATTTCATACATCTTTGTTCACGAATTGATTTGGCATATGATTTAAGAATTGCTTCACCCGAAGTAGTCAAAGGAACTGTTGCTCGAAAAGGAATTCAAGCATTATATGATCCTATTCGAAGTCGAAAATTTCTTATTGTAAATGCTATATTTGATTGGATTATTGGATCTTTAACAGCATTTTGGATTATTTATCCAGGATTATTTTTTAAATTAGCAACACAACGTGTTCTTTATATTTAAATTTAATTAAATAAATACAAAAATTTTCAATTTTCAATTTGTTTTTTATTTCATTTTTTATTTAAATTTGAATAATAATAATAATTTAAATAAGATTTGAATAGTAATATAGTGCCCATTATTAATATTTTTTTTTTAAATTCAGTGATCAAATTTTTTCGTTCATTTGGACACGAAGAAGAAAATACTTATTATTGTTAATTATCAATGCAATTAAGAAATTATGAAAAAAAATCTACAAATATTTTAAATTAAATGCTAATCATTTTTTTTCGAAAATAAAATTGATTACAAATCGATAAAAACGATTGGAATTATCATTTGTTTTGTTTGTGTTTGTGTATGTGTAAGTGTATCGTCATTTCAATCAAATAAAAAAGAAAAATTTGAAAAAATGATTAATGCAAGAAGAAAAAAAATTTGGTGATGAAAAAGATTCTCTTGATTGAAGAATTAATTGTTGTGTCAAGGTTGAACATGGCCAAAAGAAAGAAAGACGACGACGATTATGATGATGATGGCAAATAATTCCAATGGATAATGATGACAAAAAAAAATGCTGAGAATATGAAATTGAAAAAAATTCAAATATTTTTTTTACAGGAAATATATCAAACGAGAAAAAAAACTTTAAAATTAAAATTAATTACAAACGCTTATTATAAACCCCAAAAAAAACATACTTGCGTCGAAAAATGTTTTTTTTTATAAATTAATAAATTAATATCACAATGATTACGATGATGATGCGATCGCTGCTGTTGTTGCTGGTGGTGATGCGGATGATTCAATAATCGCATTTGAATCATTCGAATCCAAAGGTTTCGTTGTTGTCGTTGTTAACTTTTGTTCATTATTATTGTTTGATTGATCATCATCATTATTATCATTTTGAATTGTTGTTATTGTCGTATTATCAACATTTTCAATTTTTGTTGTTGTTGTCGATTGTGATGGTACATCATCACCATTATTATTATTATTATTCGTATTCTTCGTATTATTATTATTGTTGTTGTTGTTGTTACCATTATTTTGATTATGATTTCTATTATTTTTTGTTAATCTTTGATTTCTTTGTTGAAACCTAGAATTATTATTATTGTTGTTGTTTCGAAAATTTCGATGATGATGCCATTGATTATGATTATTATTGTTGTTGTTCGATGGATGCGGTGGCATCATCATATGTTCATCGGCCATTCCTGGATGCCAAAATTCTCTAGGTCCTTGATGCATTGGTGGTGGCGGCATTCTTGGTGGAGGACCAGAACAGAAATTCGAATTTGGTGGTGGTGGTGGAAACTGTCCTCTATGATTTAGATGATGATTCATTGGTGGTGGTGGAAATTGTCCTCGCGGTCCATTATTGAATCTTGGTCCTTGGCCTGGTGGTGGTGGATGATGAAGTCCCATTGGCGGAGGACCATCAAACATTGGACCGCCACCAGGTGGTGGTGGATAACGATTTCCAAAATGAGGTGGCGGTAGTTGCTGTGGTGGTGCAAATCGAGGATAATGAGGACCACCACCCGAAGAAATTGGAGGAGGAGGTTGATGTTGATGAGAAAGTGGTGGTGGCGGCATTTGCGGAGGACAATTTGGAGAAAAATCCATATTATCAAACATGATTGGCCGTTGATGATGCGGAGGAGGTGAAGATGCATAACGATGATTATTTATCATTGGAGGTGCTTCTATAATAGGAAGATGTTGTTGTTGTGGTGGTGGTGGTGGTGGCGGATGTGGATATCTATGTCCATCTGGTGGCAAAGAAAATGGATGAAAATGATCATTCTGCATTGGAGAATTTTGTGAAGGGAATCTTGGTTGATTAAAATTCCGTTTATGAATCATTCGATTTTGTTGTTGTTGTTGATGTTGAATATTGTTGTTTATTACATTATCCGAACCGAATGAATGATTGGACATATTTTCATCGGCATTATTATCCTGATAAGAATCATTGACATGGTCACCATGGTCATCATCACCATTATTATTATTATTAATGGAATTTTTTGTAGAAGAATTTTCACTTTCATTTAAACTATGATTAGTATTATTATCATCAATATTTTCATTTTTATAATTTTGTATTTCTATTTGTGTTGTTTGTAGATTTGACGAAGAAGAAGAAGAAGAATTTTCAAATTTCTTTTCATCCAAAAAAATTGGCTTGTTATCATAAGTTTCGTTTATACAAAATGATGATGGTGGTCGGACTGGTGATTGATGATTTAAATGCATTGATGGTCGTACAACATGATTCAAATTTGTTAATACGTTTGGTGGCTGTGGAATCTGTGATAATGGTGGAAAATTTCTATGAATCCAAGGATTAACGCCAGGAAAATTTGGTGGCTGAACGCCGCTTGGAATTCCCGAAATATGCAATGGATTTGTTGGCGGTAACATATTAGGATGATTTAATGGTGGTGGTGGTGGTGGAACGTTTGGCGGAAAGGGACCAGATGATCCTAATAGGGTACCTGGCATCGGTGGTGGTGGAACTGGCATCGGAATCGAATGATTAAGTGAAACAGGAACTGGATGAGGAAGATTTGTTTGAAATGATGTTGAAGTAGGAGGTGTCATTAATGGTAAAGGTGGTGGTAGCGGTGGCAACGGAGGAGGATTCGTTTTAAACGATGTTGATGTAGGAGGTGTCATTAATGGTAAAGGTGGTGGAATAGGTGGTGGTGGTGGTGCAGCAACATAACCAGAGGCAGGAAATGGAATCAAAGGATTCACTGCAACAGTTCCGGCAATTACAGCTGCTGCATTTGTTGAAGTTGCAGCCACAGCAGCAGCAGCTTGCATTTGTTGCTGTTGTTGTTTTAAAAGAAGTTCTTTCTCTTTTTTCTCTTGACGTTTTAATCGTCGTAATTCTTTTAATCGGTCCGGTATCGAATCTTCATCAACCATACCACCTTCTTCTAATAGATCTAAATCAATATCATCTTGTTGTTCTAATAAAATTTTATGCGGTATAAATGAACAGCCAATATCAGATTCCCAATAATCTTTATATTCTTTATTTTTGATTCCTTTGCCAGGTGCCCAGGTAATTTTGACTTGATTGGAATTTAAAATTTTTGATTGTGATTTTATTTTCGAAAATGCTTTATATGCATCTTGTCGTCGATCCATACAAACAAATGCACAACCACGTGATGGAATCAACTAGAAGAATGAAAATACAAATTAGAAAAAAATGAAATCAATTTAAAACACTTTAAAAAACTTACATCTATACTTTGTATGACACCAAATTCACCAAACAGATCATTTAGTTCACTTTCCGAAGTTGTTCGTTTAGGAAGATGACCAATCCATAATGTTGTACTACAAATAGTCATACGATCTTTACGACATGGTGGATAACCTTTACGACGTTTTTCTCGTTGTCGTTCACGTTCTTCACGATCATCACGTGATAAGCTTGAACTACGTGAACGTGATGATCGTCGATGATTTGATGAACGACTTTGTTCACGTGAACGATGTCTTTCACGACGATGTTGTTGTTGATGATGACGATGATGATGATGATCATCACGTGATGATGAACGACGATATCTTGATGATGATGATGAATGATGACGATCTTTATTATGGCGATCATTTTTACCCGAAACATCATTCGATGGTGATCGTGATGAACGATATGATGAACGAAGTTTTGTAATCGACGATTGTTGTTGTTGTTGAAAATCATTATTCGATGAATTTGTTATCGATGATTGTTGATTTTCATTAAGTTGTATCAAACTACTGTTGTTATTGTTAGCTGTCAAAGATTGTTCACCCGTATGATCAATAGATGATTGATTTTGGCAATGATAAGAATCAAATAAATCTGAATTATGAACATGATGATTCTGTAAAAGCAACGATGAATTTGATCCTCCTGATTGTTGTTGTTGTTGCGTTTGAGCTGCAACAGCTGAAGCTGATGTAACTGCAGATGATTTGAAAAATTTTTGCAATATTGTATCTTGTGCTGAAGAATTACCATCATCATCATCATTATCATAATGATGATGTTGATAATGATCACCATGTTGAATTAAATCACCATTATTACCGGTAATAGATTCATCAACTAATGATGATGATGATGTTTTGTTTGTTGTTTGTATCGATTGTTGTTGTTGACGTAAAATTTGCATCAAACCTGCAAATGTATCCAATGTTTTTTCATTTGTAATTAATTTTTTTGATAATTTTGATGGTTTTGGATATGGTGGTTCAGCTTCAGTTGGTGTTGAAATATCATCATCATCATCATCGTCATCATTTAAATCCAAAATTTCCCGATCAACATCAAAACATCTTCCACGTGAACCATCAACATTATTATTAAATGTTGGATTTTCTTGTTGAAGTTGTTTCGATAAACATGATGCTAATTGTTGTAATTGTGATGCTAAAGCTTGATCAGCATTATTCGAATTTGCTGTTGCCGTTGTTGTTGTTGTCACTGTTGATGATGTTTGATTTTCAAATTTATCTGTAAATTTTCTAATAGCATTAAATGCAGCTGATGCTTCTGAAAACATTCGATCATATGATACTTTATTATTATTATTATTAATCGAATCTGATGATTGATTTTTTTGCAAATCTTGACCATCATCATTGATTTTAATCGATGGTGATGATAAATCAATATTATTTGAAAATCTTTTATGTAATCTATGTTGTTGCTGTTGATGAGATGATGATGATGATGATGTAGTTGTTGTTGTTGTCGATGATGCATGTTGTTGTTGTTGTTGTTGATGTCCCAAATAAACATTGGATGAATCATTGATAATATCATTTGTCATCAATAGATTTGAATTCTGTATCATTAATGTATTGGTTGGATTAGCTAAATCCAATAATGGTTGTATCACATCGGGTGAAAATACATTATTTTTTTGCCATAGATTCAGAACCCGTACAATTTTTGGCTTTGGAAGAAAAGAAACGAAAAATAAATCAGGTAAGTAAATAAATAAAAACATTCATTTTGGCTTACCTTATCCTCGGGAAGGCATGTAGAGAATAATTGTTGAAATGTTTGCTGTAAATTTCTATTAAATCTTTGTCCATAAAGATCACGTTCTTTTGAATTTTTAAATTCATGTTGTGAATGTCTTACAATCGAATCAATAACATATAATGCTGGTAATTTATATTCCGGACGACATTTATGTATAAAACGTTCAACTGATTGTACAATATGTTTATAAACACGTATACCATTGATTGCTGTTTTAGTTATTTCAGATATTTTTGCCTTTGACACTGGTAATTTATCATCATATAATGATGATAATGATGCATTGAATCGTTGTATTATCTCCATAATAATTTTATTATGGAGAATAATAAATAAACAAACAACGATCAATGAAACAAAAAATGGTTCGAATGATGATTTCGAACAAATTGATCGATCGATCGATCCAATCAATCAATCAAAACAAAATCAAATCAAATCAAACAGCAACACACGCTGATGATTGATCAATTCGATTCAGAGAAGAAAAAATTTGTTCAACTTTGAATGTTGTTAAAATGCTGCTACTAAAATAAATAACATTGGCCCTTTTTAATTTTGAATCAATCAAACAAACAAAACCAAAACAAACGATTCTTGCGATCAGCGGAAACAATCATCACATCATTTTATCATTATTATTATTATCATTGTTGTAATAAAAAACCGAAATTAAAGAAAGAAAGAGGTGATCATGAAAAGAAAAAACAAGCAGACAAAACACACACACCAACCAACCAACCAACCAACCAACCACCACTATTACAAAAAGTAAAGGGAGAAAGAAACTGAGCGCACCGAGTGATACTATACTTCTCCCACTTATTATCATCTACGTCTACAACATTCTCGTTGCTCATTTTTTTTTTGTTTCTTGTGGATCACATTATCATCAACAACACCATCTAGTGAATAGATTCAACAACAAACTTTGGAATTCGGAAATTCAAATTAATTAGAACCGGTCAGGTTGAAAAGGTTCAAAGAACTCTTTTGGTTAATCTCTCTCTACCTCTCTCTTGCTTTTTTGTAAAAATTTTTTTCTCGTCAAACAAAAATAAAATTAGTATATTTTATTTACAAATGTTTTATTATTATTATTATTTTTTATAAAAGAATATTCTATTAATTATATAGCTATTATTATTTATAATTTACAAATGAATAAATTGAATTGAATGATTTTATATTGTTTTATCACGATATATTCGATTTAACGAATTTAATTGACATACCATAGCAAATGTTTTCTGTATAGCCAATGATAATGATTCTTCTGGTGATAATTTTTTCATTATATTTTTATTAAAATCTAACCATGTCATATCGATTAATTTTGATTTGGAATATTTTTTCTGTATTGATAATGATGATGATTGATTGTTGCCATCATTAGTAATCATTGGCAATGGAGATGAATCTGCTTCGGATGATCGATATAGAAATTGATCAAAAGAATTTAAAAGAAATTTTGAACCAGGTTTTGATGCCGATATTGATTGATTACGTTGACCAAGTCGTATAAGTAATTTTAAAAAACCTTCAATCAATGGTGGAAATGTTTGTATCATACGTTCTAATGCCGGTAATATTGATAGATAAAATTGACATAGTTTTTCATTTGGTAACAATGAAAGATGTGTGTTAGCAAATTCAAAACATAATTTTGCAATACTAAATGAACGTGGTATTGGATATTGACAACAAAGATGTGATGCTAAATCTATTGCAAATGACTATTCATTTTTTTAGGAAAAAATTGGATTAACTTTCTTACAACAACAAAAAAATATGATTCTTACCTGTTTATTGAGATCAGTATATTGTAAAATATCCGGTATAAAATCTAAACAAATATGTAATGATGGTATACCTGCAACGGCCATTGTTAAAAATTCTGGATCATAACCTTGTGTAGAAACAGTTTTAGCTAGATTCCAATCAGCAATAAAACATTGATGTAAATGTGTACAAATTAAACCTTGAATTTCTCTACGATTCGATAATAAACAATCAATTTGTTGATTTAATATTGAACTTTGTTTTGATACATCCAATGATTGTTGTTGTTGTTGATAAAATTTTTCACGAACATTTTGATCAATTTGTGTTGAACAACAATCCAATAGCATTTGAATTGAAGCAGAATCCCATGTTAGATTATAAATCCTTGATAATTCTTCTCTTTTCTTTTTTTCATCATCACTCGTATGACGACTAATACATTCCATATTATGATGTATACAACGAATTTTTGATGCTGATAATATACCATCAAGTATGTGAAGATGAATTTCCATTAATTCTGGTATACGAAAAACACGTTGATCACAACGAAATAAAAAATTTGGATTCATAACTAAATCTTCCCATGTTTGTTGATTCCATTTATTTGATAATAATAATAAACCATTTGTTGATGATTCACAACGTAGAATATTAACAGTCATAACCCATAATTTGGTTGGAAAAATATAATTTAAACGAAACCAAATTTTTCTTATTAGCAAAAGAATTTTTTTCGGTGTATCAACATCCAATATACATGGTAATAATTGTATAAAATCCGTTGCAAATGGCCATAATAATTCATCAGGTAATTTTATCAATTGTTCTAAATAATAAAATGATTCACGATTTTGATTATATAATTTTTCTTTAAATGAATGTAAACATTTTTGAAATAATTTTCTTAGCCGTTTTCGATGTACAATAATTTGTTTAATTTGATAACGATCATTTGATTGAAATAATGATCGATGATTTTGTACGGAAAAATTTGGTCTTGGTAACCAATCACGTACTAAACATAAATGTGGATAATGAAATGATATTAAACGTAATAATGGTGGTCGTAATAGTCCATATTCTTTTGGACATGTTTGTGTACGTTGTATCAGGTAAAATATTGGTAAACGTGACATAAATTCATTCGTATATGTTAATGATGGACGATCAACATTACGAATATTTGATAGACGTACATCTTCATAAAGTAATACATAATAAAGAAATAATAATTGTGATGTTAATAAACATGATACTTGATTTTCATTTGAATTTAAATTCTTAACATTTGTATCATCATTATCATCCATTTCATCTTCAGTTTCATCATCATCAATATCCATTTGTTCATCCAGATCAGAACTATTATCCATCATCATTGAATCATCATCATTATCATCATTATCAGTTGAATCTTCACCACCTGATTGTTGTTGTTGTTGTTTTCGATCATTTTTTTGTTCCGGTTCAAATGAATATACATCACGTTGAAAAACTTTTATTAAATCTTCTTCAGCAATTGGTTCATTTGTCATATGTGCTGATTGACTTGTTGGCAAAAGAATTGAATTAACATATGCTTCAATTAATGATGGTAAAATATGATGAATTGGTGGTCTACAATTACATAGCTGTTGAAATATCCAATTTTTTATCGGTACTTTATTCTTAGTGAATGCTCTACTTTTCAATAATTGATATATACAATGAATTGGTAAAGCACCTGTAATCGAATCATTTAAATTTTTTGTTACAGGTACTTTTATAGCATGTGATGTAACAGTTTGTTCAGTAAATATATCTTGAATGAAAATATGTTTAATCAATGTTAAATCATTAGTACGAGATGAATGTTTAATACCGATTGTTGATGATACTAATTCACCAATCTGTGTCAGTTGATTTGAATGAAAAAATATAGCAATCAATAAAAGCATTTCACCAAACGAAGCACGGGTATTAGCTTTTTGTCCAAAATAATTTTCCTCTTTAACCAACCATTTTATCCATTCAATAATTTCCGATTCTTGACTAATAATCATTTGTGGAAATGCTAAAATCATACAAAGGCCAACCGAAACAAAACGTACACCAATATCAATATGTGGTGGTGGACGACAAACAATCATTTTACTAATAGCTTGTGTTTCATCATCATTTAATTTCATCATTGCAACACCACGCAATGCACAATATAATCGTAACATTAAACAGGCTTCAGTAATGATTGATTCTTCGATTTTCATTTGTTGATTACTAGTACCATTCGTTGTTGTTGTTGTCAGTGAATTATTCGACAGATTCATCATAGCATCCGTTATCAAACGAAAACGACGTAAAAGTTGTTCGCGAAATTCCAGAAAACAATTTGTCTGTATTGATTGATCAAGATTTTTTCTTTTAATATATTGTGAAAACCATTGTCGTATTTTATCATCATTGCTTAATAATATTCCCGAAAGAAATGATAAAACATCAGAATTCGTTGTCGTCGTAGTCGTTGATGTTTCATTCAAATTATCATGCAATTTTAAATGATCCAATGTAAGCATTACAATCAAATTTGGCATACGACATAATTCAATTGCTTCATTACGAATTGATAATGATTCAGATTGATTCATTTGACAAAGTTTACGTAATACTTGTACACGATTAATCGATAGAAAATTTTGTTCTTCAATCAAATTCTGATCACTATTCTGTATTAATGTACTACATATTTCATGAAATGATTCGGAAAAATTTCCAACTAAACGTACAATTATTTGTTGACCATTTTTTACTAATAATAATGTTTCAACAATTTCAAATAATTGTAATGTATTTGGCATTTCGGAAATAGCAAAATATAATAAATCAACAATTTCATCAAGATAAATATCTTGATCAAATAATTCTGATTGTACGGGACATTGAACATTCATTAATTGATATGATTGATTTTTCAAATAAATTATTAATGTAAGTAATTCATTTAAAATTAATTTCATACGTATCAATTGATTTTGATTATTTTGTTCGAATATTTTTATCAAATAATGTTCATTATTATTATATGAATCGTTGGTTGATAAATTGAATGTTTTGAAAATTGATGATAGTAAATAGGTTTCATGTGGTTGTGGTTGATTAGATGATTTCAGCCGTAATTGTAAATCTTTTTTCACCTCAGATTCTAATTGAACATAATCAATAGATAATATTTGACGTAGATCATTTGCTTCGGGAAATGTTATCAGAATTCGTTTTAATTTACGACGATTATCCAGCCATTTTCTTGATGAATCTATTGTATCACAATGACACATACGCACTAAACATGGTAATATATAACGTAAATCTTTTGTTGATAATTGATCTAATTGATCAAAATTTAATGTTTGAATTAGATCAAAACATTTTGTACTTGGTATCGACATTTTTTTGTTTCTTTGAATAAATTATCATTGAAAAATGATGAAACGAATAATGTCAACAAAGCCGCATTAATGATCACAACAAAAAGAATTTCGAACGTGTGTTTGTCCCGAATGAGTTTGAAGCAATTTGGGTTGATATAGAATCCATTCATAGATAACGTGTTGGGTGCACGTGTGAAATTGTTCGATCTTTCGAAAAGCATTTTTCTTGGGTATTTTCTTTTTGGATGTTTTTTTTGAAATCAAAATCATGGTACATTTAGACGATGATGCTTATTGTTTTCTATGTAAAATTCGTTTCATTACAAGTGAACAAATCAAAAAACATTTTAAAGAAAAGCATTCAAATTATCAATCTGATGCTTATCGTTGTTATGCTTGTGTTTCTTGTCAATATGTAAATTTACGAAATCTAATCAGACATTTTGTAAATAAACATTGTCAACCGGATCGACAAATAGAAAATGTTTTGGATTCGAATCTAAATCAAGATATGATAGGTGATAGAATGCATCAGTCAAATATTGATCAAGGTAATGAACGAATTGAAATCGACCAAAGCGATATACCTCAAGATGTAATAGATGATCAAAATTCGTTGATTCCTTCAATTATGGATAATTGTGAACAAAAATGTGATAATATTTCCGAATCTGTATGTGATAAACCTGTTGTAGTCGAACCTGGCGAAACAAATCCAGATAATTTACCAAGTGTAAGTATACTTTTAGTAAAAAAAAGAAACATTTTTAATCGCACCTGGTATGTTTTTTTTTGTTTTGTTTAACAGTTGGCACAAATTTTCGAAATTGGTGGCGAAAAAATTTTGTTTGAAAAAATTGTCGAAACAAAATATGTATCATCGGTTGAAAGACAGAAATTGGTCAATTGTGTTGGCATTTTTCTTGCTAATCATTATAAATCGTTAACGATTCCAATCCAAACATTGAAATATTATGCAAAAGAATTGAGCAAAATTAGTCAAGATACAGAAGTAAGTTTTTATTCGAAAAAAATTGACTAATTCCAATTGACCGACCTGATAATATTTTTTTTCAGGAAGATTATTTTTGCTATTGGATATCATCACGAATTAGATCGGGAAAATTAGTCGAACATCGAAAACCAGTCGGTAGATTATATAAATTTTTTGAATATCGGCGAAGAAAATACAAACTCGATGAACAAAAAAAGAAAAATTAACCCCTTGAAGCTCTCTGTGTGTTTTGTTAATCACTTGATAACTTTTTTTTTGTTACAATTTAACTCACAAAAAAAACAAAAGAAAACTCAATAAAATTATCATTTCTTCGTCTTTGATCCACCTAAACATTTTGGTGAACGACAATCAGATTTTCCATTTAAATCCATTTCCCATTGTATTGGTGTATATGCTTCGATAGCTAATGCATGTATTTGGGGGAATTCTTCACGTAAAACATCAACAACTTTTCGATGTCTCTAACAAAATGAAAAAAAATCTAAACGAGGAACAACAAAACAAAAACAAAACTAACCTGCAATGCATTTAATCCATCAAATTTTTTCGAAACAATTAAAACACGAAAATGTGTTTCAGAATTCCGTGGTACATTATGCTGGGAACTTTCATTTTGTACAATTAAATTTGATGGCTATTTTTCGAGAGAAGAATTAGATTTTGTCAAAACAAAATGAAAATCATCCTATTTCGACTTACATCCAATTTGGATTTTAATTTCGTTTCGATACGATTTTGAACCGGGCCATTTGTTTTCATCATCATCATCCTCGAATTACACCGATAAAATGAATGCTGTACATTTTTTACTTGAAAAATTTGTTGAAAACTTTTCAAAATTGACATGATTTTCAATTTGCAAAGAATCTTTGTTTTTTTAATTCTGTTTGATCAATCTCGAGGTAACTTACTTTTTGAACAGTTTTCACTTTTTGAAAACAAAAAAAAAAAAAGAATGTTTTGACATTTTCGACAAAAGTCATCGATCGGTGATCATCTGCATGGATGTTTGTGTACCGTTGAATCCGGAAAACAAAAAATTCCTTCGATTAATTTATCTGATTTGTCAATCTGGTGATGACGCTGATGATGATAAAAATTGGTTTGATAATGGTCGATTTGAAGCACCGGAAAATGAATCGAATACAATCGAATCTGGTTGTCAAAGAATTTCATTGGCTGCTATGATGGTACAATATTTTTATTGGAAAACAACGGGGAAAACTTTTCGCTTGGAATTTGATCAACAAGAACGAAAAGAAGAAAATCGACGACCAATTGTTTATCGTTTTCTGATCAAAGATCATGATCATCATAAACTTTGGCAAATGAATCAAATAGATTTATGGCGTTTAATTGCAAATCAATTAATGAATTCTACATTAGCTACGAATGATTGTAAATATTTAGCATTTTGTTCATTTTCAAGATTTGCATCGAAATCGAATCAGCCAATTTGGTTACCATCAAAACAAGTTAATGGTTATGTTTCATTAGGCGGTGATGGTTTAGCATTGCTGAGTACACATTGTTTATATTGTTGGCCTGAAACAATTGATGAAATCAATGAACGATTTGAAGATCAACGACCGGTTGATGTCGATCGATTTATGAATGATAGTAATAATAGGTTAGTGGTGGTAATGTTTTTGTTTTACATTATCTCATTTTGTTTTCTGATCCTTTCAATCAAGAAATACTCGATCAGGTTGTTTGGCAACAACATTTGGTGCTGTCGTTCATGAATTAGGACATGTATTTGGTTTAGCACACCGTTCGACGGGTATAATGTCCGATGAATTTAATTTTATTGATGAATTTTTTCGAAAAAATAATCATCACAGCAATGTTTGTCGTCGATGGTGGACCGAAGAAGATTTAACAATTTTAAATCTAAATCCTTGGTTCGATCCTTGTTTATCAGCTGATGACAATGAAAATGTTTTCAACATAATTACTACTGATAATCGAAAAATATTACAATCAAAATATGATATACGTTTATTAGAATATCGTCATATTGATACAAATTTGGTTAAAAAATCTAAAATTTTTAATAAATCATCAATCAAATCAATACAAATCAATTGGATTGATAAACAATCCAAATTATACATATTAGATTGTAATGGTAATAGTAAAACATTTTATTTATAAAAATCAAAAATGATGGACAAAAACAAACTTTTTATTGATTTATTATTATTGAAAAAATAAAAATATTTCTTTTCACAACAACAAGAACAAGAAGGTAATTTTGACTGGAAATCTTCAAAAAAAAAAAACAAACAAACATTTGACATTGGAGATCTTTGATGATAATTGGCTTTTTTGTTTTTTGAGAAAAGGAGAAAATCAAATGAATCATGATTTAAAAACATGGACAACACGTGTTATAAATTGTCGACAAATTGGACCTTTGAAGAAAAAGAGATTAGTTTTTTCGGATAAGATTTCCTCCTTTGTGTTAAAACTTACATTCACTTAATACTTTACCACATTCAGTACAGGTAAGCATATGACCACAATCCAACAGAACACAATCGATAACTTTTTCCCAACAAATTTTACATTGATTTTCATCAACACCACCATTATCGTTTAATGATTCTTTTGTTTCTAATTGATCTTTTTTTTATCAAAAAAAAAATTAATTAAAAAATTAACCCCAGAATCTCTTTACTCACCTTTAAGACGATCATTTTGTTTTTTATCATTATACAACAGTAAAACTTTTGCAACCAATTCATCACGTTCAATACAACCTTTAAAATTAACAAAATTTCTTGTTAATAATAATTTTAATTGTTTTATGGAAAAATTTCTTATTTCATCTGCATCGTTTATATCATCCAATGTAATATTTGCTGATGTCGTCGATGATGTTGATGATGATGATTTAGTTGCCTGTCCATTAGTAGATTTATTATTATCACTATTGATTGTATCGTTGGAATTTTGATTCGTTTCGTTCGATGATTCAGATGTCGTCGAAGTTCTTGTTGCTCTTGGTGATGAATGCGTGGATGATAATGGTGGACATGCTGATGACGTTGTCGACGTCGACGTTGATGATTGATTTGATTGTTGTTGTTGCTGTTGATTATTACTGGTAGAGGCAAAAGAATTGGTAAAAGAATGACGTCGTTGGGCTGATGTTGTTGTTTCACTGAACGAAGAATTTCTTCCTGTTGACCCGGTGGATGATGATGATGATGTTGTTCCACCATTACGAATCCGAATGACCAAATCAACAAGTTCAGATTTTTCCTATGTTTTTTTTAATCAAACGTTAGTTAGAAAACAGAAAAAACTGAAAACAAAAAAAACTTACACAACAATGATGTGAAGGTATATTTTGTGAAGCAAGAAACCATTTTAGATCACGAACTTTTAATGAATTTAATCCTTCTTTTGAAATAGGATTCTGGCCAAATATTGTACAACGATTACAAATAGATTTTCTTGATGGTATTGGATTATAAATCATACATTGTGAACAATATGGTAATGAACATTTACTACATTTTCTTTTACGGGCAAATATTGTTGTATTAACTGAATTACATGAATTACAAGATGTTTTTGATATGTTAAATATTTTATTCATTTCGGGTATACTTTCTGTCAAATTTTAAGAGGGGAAAAATTTATCAATTTTTGAAATATTAACACTAACACTTACTTGAAATTTCATCCAATGAATCTTTAATATTATCTTGAAAATCATCAAAAACTTTACCAACCGCTTGAAACGAATCGTTAAAATTGAAATTAAATGCTGTTTTTGGGCTGTTGTTGTTTGTTGAATCTCTACGATTATTATTATTATTATTATTATTATTATTACGGTTATTATTATTAGCCGAAGAAGATGATGTTGATGTTGACGATGATGATGATGAATTCATAATGAAATTGAAATCGAAAAGAAAATCTTTGTATTTTTTAACCAAAACAAACCAATAACAGAAATGAATTCAATTATCGAATTAGTAATCCAAAAAAATGCAAAAAATGCGACATAAATGTAGCCAAAATCGATAACAAAAAAAAATTTTTTGGTTATAATTTTTTTTTTGTTTCGTCAAAACATCGATAAGAATCGAGCGTTTGTTTCAAGTTAGTTAAATTAGATTAATCAGAATTATAATTAACACTTGATAACAACTACAGGAACAGATACTAACCTTTATTTAAAAAATAATAAAAAATTTGATTATCATTTTCGAATACGACATTATGATGAAATGATGAAATGAAAAAGAAAGTTTTATAAAAACCAAAAACAAAACAAAACGAAAATCAGAATAACAACGACGACGACTCAATTGACTTTAATCCTCTCAAATGATGTGATTTGTTTGAGTATTTATTTTGCCGTTTAATTGGAAAATCGAGAAATCCAAAAGCAAACAAAAAAATTGCAAAAGTAAAAACGAAAACAACAAAAACAGAAAATGGAAAACAACAAAAAGTGAGCAAAAAAAAAATAGGATATGATTTTTTTGATTTTAAAATGATAGATGGCAGCACGGGTTTCAAATTTCAATTTTTAAAAGTAACACTGATGTAATGATGATGATGATTCAGATATAGAACGGAAAAAAAATCAGGCGTACAATATATATCCATCCAACTTTTTGTCAATCGCGCCCAGCCCCCCTATTAATAAACCACCGAAAACGATTCGATAAAGTAAAAATAATCCTTTTTTTAACATTATGCCAAACACAGACACTCATACACACCGAGAATGTTTTGATCATCAAGAATTAAATGGGAAAACAGAAAAACCTGGTCGCCCTGGTGGTTTTATCCCGTCCGGTTTTTATTATGCAACGAATGATGATGATGATGATGATGGTGATGGTAATTGCGCGTGGGAATTCTGTTTTTGTTTTTTTTTTGTTGTTGATTCAGATTCTGTTTGAGTAAAAAAAAATGTACAGTTTTTTTTTTGAAAATGTTTTTTTGGATTTTAAAATTGAAAGAATTTTTTTTTGGGCGCCAGGGGGGATGGTTTACAAGTTGGTAAACAAAAAAACGAATAGAGAGGAAAGGATTAAAGAATTCTCGGGAATTTCTTCTTCTTCGTGGATAGAAAGATCTGGATAGAAAATCTAGAACACCGCCAGAGAAATTGAAGTTTTTTTTGAAAAATTCTTTTACCAGTCTCTATTCCATCACCATTTTATCAAAGATGACATTCATCAAATTCAACCAAATGAAAACAAAAAAGTCAGGTTCACCGACTTTCGTTTTTGGCAAAATTAGATAATCATAATCATCATCATATGATAAAAATCGGTTATTCAATATCGAATGAATCCTGTAAAAGCGATGAATGACTGTAGAATAATAATAATAATAATAATAATAATAATGTTTTTTTTTTCAGTTGAATTGACAAAAAACAACAACAACAACAACAACAGAACACGAAAATGATGCGACTCCATTCACGTTTTTCTTTTTCTTTTTTTTTTCGTTGATAAACCACCACCACTGTTTAATGGACCTGAAAAAAAACCCCGTAAACAAATCGAAGAAGACGACGGCGATCAAAAGACTCCACCGTATTCGGTTTCTTTGGAAAAACAAAAAATACGAAAAAATCCAACTTTCCAGATTCGAATCAAAGACTGAATTTTTTCTTCAAACTATATCGACTGCGAGAGGAGGAGAGAGAGAGATGGGCGCCTATTTTGAATGAAAAAAAAATCTTCCCGTTCAATGAATTATCATCATCATCAACAAACAACAACATCGAATGTTTGTTTTGTTTTATTCATTTTTCGAGGTAGTCAAGAAAAAGAAAAAAAAAACTTGAAAAATTCATGGTTTGCTTCGACTCGTGTGTCTTATTTAATGATGATGATTGTAGAAAGCAAGCCAGCCAGGCAAAAAGGTACATTTCGAATGGAAATAAAGTTTTTTCTTTTTTTTCTTTCTTTTTTTTTGGATATATCATTTGTCCATCCGTCTGTCCGTTTATTTTATCTGGTTATTTTTTTCGCCACTGATGATACCGGCTTTGCGTGTGTGTGTGGATATCTATATGAGGATAATACAGTCGATTCTCTCTTCTTTTTTTTTTTGCTTCCTGCTTAATTTTGGATAAATAAATACAGTATAAGCTCGCTTAGCAGTGATGATGATCTTTCCAAGCCCAGGTCGACCTGGCCAGGCTCTTTAAGAAGAAGAAAAAAAAAATTAACACTTGTGTGTACAGGTAGATATTGAATTTAGATATTAAGATGATGATGATGATTAATTAATCCAGCAACAACAACAACAACAACAATTTTTTTCCCAAAAACAAACAAACAGAAAAAAATACTTATTTTTTCTAATTTTAACACTTAAGCACACAGGGAGATGAAATAACCCCACCACCACCTTTAATTATCTGAAAAAATTTTTAAAATTAGTTTATCTTAATTCATTCATTAATTTTTTTTTTTATAAAATAACAAAGTCTAAATTAATAATAATGTTTTCTGTTTTCGGCTGTGTACTTTGTACCTAAAAAAAAAAATACTTTTTGTGGGGCAGGGGGGAGAGGCGGGAGGAAACATGGGGGATGGCAACATCAAATTTGTTTGTGTAAATAACATTTTTTTTATAGGGGTTTCACACTAGCAGCAATGTGAATGAAATATTTCAAATGCAATATTTCA